CCCCGCCCCGACCGATACGTCGCTCCGCCCAGCCACGCCTGGCAAAGAGGACCCCGCCGACCGGCACCCCCCCCCGGCGCGATTTTTCGCGGACCGTTCCTCGTTGCTGTCTCACGGGCACCGCGCCCCTCCCGAACCGTCGCGCGTTCGTCTTCGCCGTCCCACAACCCCGCAGTCCCACGCGCGGGCCTCCCTGCCCGACTTTCCCTGGGCCCGGCTCCTGCGTCACGCGAGGATTGGTTTTCCCTTTAGGGTATAAGAGAGTATAAGAGATATATCATCAATCAGAACTGCCCGGTAAACCGTCTGCAGAGAGGGAGAGAGAAGAGGACAACAAACGAGGACCTGTGACAAACTGTTTCGTCGGCATCATATATTCTTTGGTTATGGAAGAAAATAATTTTGATTCTCTCCTTTCTCCCTTTCCCTCATTTTCGTGTTTTTCTGTTTACTCTTCCCCATGGTTGGGGTACTTCGTTTTGCGGACCTACTGTATGGTTCTGTTTTTTAACTATTGATATGGCAGAATTTGTTTTGGTAACCTTGTCTGCGTCCCAGTTGGTTTTGTCCCATTGTTCGGTCTATTTGGAATGCGTAGTGGTGCTTTCATGTGGGACTAGTCATCCGGGTTCTTGTTTTGGCATCCTGGTTGGTTGATTCCTGTTGTTCGGCCTGTGTATTTGGGGGCGGTGCTTTTATGTGGGAATCGTCGTCCGGGATTGTCTTTTATGTTTGTTGCGGTAGCGGCAATAGATTCAATTCTCTTTTGCAGATAAGGTGTTTTTTGGCATCCTGGTTGGTTGCTTCCCGTTGATCGGCCTATAGTGCGGGGGCGGTGCTTATATGTGGGAATCGTCAACTGGGATTGTTTTTTATGGCTCCACATCTGTTGGTGGTAATCGAAGGCTTTATGGTGTTTTGAATCCTGGCCGGTTTGTCCCGCCGTTTGGCCTGTGACGTGGGGGCGGTGTTTGCATGTGGGCCTTGTCATCTAGGATTTGTTCGCCACCTGTTATGTAATGTTTGGCTGTTCCCTTCCTCTTTTCATTGCCTCTTCGCCTTTTGGCTGTGTGCAAGTGGGTCGATATGACACACAGGGGTGGGGGCAGCCGCCGCTCAGCCTACATCCACGTGGGCGGCCTTGTACGCAAGAGGTTCTGAACAGGGGGAGTTGTAAGGAACAAGATTTTGTTTTTAAATGAATTTATTTTCTAAATTTTCTTTGTTTTTTCGCTTTTGCGCTCTGACAACTTTGTGACAATATATCAAGGCAGGTTATCACTCACCCACACCAGACAGAAGACTCTACAGACTGCAGGTTCACACCTCATCATATATATGTATATACTCTAGCACTCGTGAATCTGTTGCTGATGTCCTTGGCAGCCGTGCAATATGAAATGACCACTGGGGTTACACCCGTACTGATACCCCACCTTTCCTTGACTATGTTCTTGAAGCTCACAAAGCTCCTCCAGCTCTTCACAGCATTCTTGGAGTCACAAAACAAAACAAGGTTGTTCCCCCGCATGCTCGTCCTCGTTCTCGTCCGACAGTTCATACCGTTCATGAATGGCCTCCTCAGAAACCATTGGCTAGTACAACGATTAATTCTGCGTATCTCACTGCTGCTTTGCAAGGAGTTGTCTCTACACCTTGTGAGAGAGACACTGAGCTCTATCGACAGGTTGAGTGCGATGGTGCTGGATTGTTCGGAGTGTCGATGAAGTGGCACTTGCCCTAAAAAACAATGCATCATCTCTTTGTGGCCTCTCTCGTCACACTGGTGATTTTACCACAATGTACACCAACCTTCTCATGACCTCATTCTGAATAATGGGGCAAAAGCTGTTGATGAATCCCATGCTTATGCCCTGGGCATACTTGGGAGAGATCGCGCTGCATGCCCTGAACATGGTAATTCGAGGACCTCGTTGTGGTCAGTGGACAGCTGATTCAGGCCCGGACACCCTTTCTGTTTTTCAGATTCGCCAATGTCTTTGCTCTCTTGCACAAAATACGTCTCCGTGCAGATGGCACGCTTCGGAAATGGATTGTCGATATTCCAATGGGAACTAATACTGGCCCAAAAAATTGTAATAAGATGCTGTATTGGGATGAAGTGCACTTTGTTGATGACATTTGTCAGCATGATCTTGAAGCCGCTCAGCAATATGCTTTCACTTATCGCCTCATTGATGATGTTCGTCATGGGGGCAACTACCTCCTCCGCCAGAGCACTATGGGTCCGCCTTGATGGCTCACTTAGCATGACCGTGTTTGATAATGTGGCTGCCTGGGACCTCCCTGCCAGTCGTTATCCATGTCAACCTCCAATATCCCTTCCCATCAACCAGCTGGTGTGTTCACTTGGCAATTGACCAGATTTGAACAAGTTTATAACGACTGGCGGGACTTCAAACTGTGGCGAGAACACTTCTTGCCGCATGCTTTCTCGTGGGCTTTCCCTATGAACCCTTGCTAAAGGGTGGACCTGCTACATGTGTTCCCTCCAGTGCCACTTCCTACACGTGACTCATCCCTCTCAGTTTTTCTGATGCATGCTGTGATGGTCCTCGCACCATCCATTTTCTTCTTTGCCATCATGAAGCTGTCATCCTCCCCCTGCTTGCTTATCTACTGTTGCTGCAATTCCTACAACTGCAGTTTCCACTGCTGTATGCTTCCATTGCTCCAGTTTCTTTTGGTGTAGTCGTCTCTGCAACCGTTTCCACATTTGGAATTCCTCCTATTGTAGTTTTTGCTGCTGCAGCTTCCTCTGTGGCAGTTCCAGTGCAAAGAACATTACAGTCCTTGGCGGGTTTCCGTGCAGCTACTGGACTACAATCACCATTGGTAAGTTGACCTAGCTATCGACGCATGCACAATCCTAGTTGGCCGACTTAAGTAAGATCCATTGACATCAACAAAAGTTGGCGTGAGCAGCTCAACTCCAGGGAAGAGCAGTAATCTAAAGCATCAAAGCCAACATGCATGCTCATGCAAGGCAAGGGTTGAAGAAACACTTGACTACTATAAGCTCGAAGATCCTCCATGTTCGCTTCACTTGATTCTTCCGCCTTCCTCAACCTCTTCTCCTTCGGCCCCCTTTAACCCTAAACATCGGTCAATTCCTTAACACGCCAATTTGCATCACCCGCCATCTTACTTCACCCGTCGGCCTAAATGAACGCCGGCTTCTTCTTCAGCTCCTAGCAAGAAGACAGTGAACACTTACTTTGCCGCATGCTTTCTCGTGGGCTCTCCCTATGAACCCTTGCTAAAGGGTGGACCTGTTACATGTGTTCCCGCGAGTGCCACTTTCCTACAGGTGACTCATCCCTCTCAGTTTTTCTGACGCATGCTGTGATGGTCCTCACACCATCCATTTTCTTCTTTGCCATCATGAAGTTGTCATCCTTCCCCTGCTTGCTTATCTACTGTTGCTGCAATTCCTACAACTGCAGTTTCCACTGCTGTATGCTTCCATTGCTCCGGTTTCTTTTGGTGCAGTCGTCTCTGCAACCGTTTCCACATTTGGAATTCCTCCTATTTGCTGCTGCAGCTTCCTCTGTGGCAGTTCCATGCAAAGAACATAACAGTCCTTGGCGGGTTTACTTGACGACAATCACCCTTGGTAAGTTGACCTACCTATCAACGCATGGACAATCCTAGTTGGCCGACTTAAGTAAGATCCATTGACATCAACAAAAGTTGGCGTGAGCAGCTCAACTCTAGGGAAGAGCAGTAATCTAAAGCATCAAAGCCAACATGCATGCTCATGCAAGGCAAGGGTTGAAGAAACACTTGACTACTATAAGCTCGAAGATCCTCCATGTTTGCTTCACTTGATTCTTCCGCCTTCCTCAACCTCTTCTCCTTCGGCCACCTTTAACCCTAAACATCGGTCAATTCCTTAACACGCCAATTTGCATCACCTGGCATCTTACTTCACCCGTCGGCCTAAATGAACGTCGGCTTCTTCTTCAGCTCCTAGCAAGAAGACAGCGAGAATCTACTCCGATAGCAACGGCAACGATCCCACACAAACTACGCCACTGCTTGCAACATCAGGAGTTCACATTTCGTCACACCACACTGCACACAGTGACACAGGAGATGCAAATCAACACAATGACATGCGCAAATCGGCAATTGCTGTCGGCGAGCCTACCCCCTCTCCTCACGCTTCACGCTTTTCCTTCCCAACCGCGTAACTGACAACTTATGCGGAAATTAGGAGAAGTGCAAGGAATATGAGTGTGAGCGATTTACATAAAACCAAGTTGCGAAATCACACAACTGAACAAGTAGTCGTGTCCCAAGCAGAGAGTACAAATGCACCGAGAAAACCATCCATATAGAGCAATACAATGAAGTAATGAGCCAATGTCCAAGCCAGTAGGCCACACCAACACAGTATCCAAAGTCGCTCTCTCCTGTCTGGCGCTCGGCGCCCAGCCTACTCTACGTGACTAGCCTACCTACAGCCGGTTCACTCAACAGGATCACTACGACTCTCGAAGACCAATGTACATGACTGCCAACACCATCGCCGACCTCTCTTCATGTACCAGGTACGTATCTCGTAACCCTCAATCAGACCTTGATTACCCCACACAGCGCCTCCTTCCCTGAAGACCACCTGATCATCAGCTGTACCCCCTAGCGCCCAGCAGCCCGGCTATGGCTGCCTGCGCTTCGCTGCCCTGCAGCGCCCCACTTCACCTCTCGCGCCACGTCAGCGCCCTTGGCAGCAGCGCAACATCAAGCGAGAGCGCAGCAGCACTTCCGCATTGCCAGCGCTGGCCAGAATACCTGGCCTGCGCTGCTTCCTTCCTTTTGTGGAAGTGGCAGCCTCCTGGATGCTGCGTGTGGCCTGGCTGGAAGCTTCCAGTAGCTTCTGGTTGGGTCCCAGACCCTGCGCCCAGGCCCGAGACTACAGTTGAGGGCCTGGGCCCTCTGCAGTTAGGCACGGCCTGAGTCTTCAAACTTGGGCTGTTTGCTGCATCAGTTGAGGGCCTGGGCCCTCTGCAGTTAGGCACGGCCTGAGTCTTCGAACTTGGGCTGTTTGCTGCATCTGTGCAGGGCTCCCAGGCAGGTGCGTTGGCACTACTGTTTCTGCAAAGGCCGAAGGCCTGCTTCCCAATGTATCGGCCCTGCTTTGTGTATGTGTGCCCAGGCGCAACTGTCAAGGCCTGGGCCAACTGTATGACGCAGCAATGTGAGGCTCACGCGTCTTCCCAACCAACTGGTGTGCTGCGAGAGCCTGAATACCTGCATATGGAAATGTCGAATTTTGCCTTTGACGAATATTCAGGCCTGCCTTCACTTAGGGCGGGCACTTGGCTTAGTGGGGGCCTTAGCCCAGAACAATGTGATGTCTGATAGGGCCCCTTGAGGGCTTGTTCCTCACATTCCATCCCCCTTAGCTTCGAAAGTCTGCTGAGATGCTTCATGCTGGTGCCTTCCCCTTCAATTTCTTCTCATAATCTGCCACGATCCGAGGAGCTGTCTTAAACAAGTTCCTCCCTTGAAATTCATCGATCTTCCTGGATCTGTATGATGCCTGAAATGTACTCTGTATTCCCTCGCAGGTTTGGGAGGTCTTCCCCTACCAGGTAACAGGCGTGTCTCTGTGATCCAGGATATCGTCGACGTCCACGTGGCCATCCATGGTTGGGGGCAGCATAGATCTCCGTGATGGGAACTGTGTTGTCTCAGCGAAAGGTGCAAGCTTGGAGGCATGAAAAACAGGGTAAGTGCGTAAGTGACCAGGGATACGAATGACGTACGAGGGACCATCCAAATCATTCCCCACAATGTCCAGGACTTCCCAGGGACCGAAATACTGAGGCATTAGTTTCCTAGAGATGCCAACCTCCTGTCCCAACTCACTATGTGTTCGACCATCTGCTGCAACAGTTTCTCATACTGGACACCAAATTCAATGGTTCCGGGAGTTGCAACAATTCGGTTTTCAGGCAGGAGGAAGTCTAGAGCAGATCTAGGCTTTCACCCTAGATGCAGTTGATTAGGACTGACGTCGGTGGTGCTGTGTACAACGTTATTGTACAGGCTGGCGATGGGAGGTAATTTCTCATCCCAGTCATTCTGGCTGGGCTTGATGTAATGCCTCAGCAGATGCTGCACCACTTGGTTCATCTGTTCAGCCTGGCCATTTGCTTCTGGATGATTCCCAGAAGTCATCTGAAGCTGGCTGCCCATCTGTTCAGTGGCCTTCTTCCACATCTCGCTTGTGAAACGTACATCTCTGTCACTGACGATCGTTTTTGGAAGTCCAAAGTCACGCACCCAATTGTCCATGAACAACTTGATGACGTGCTCAGTCCTGGCAGTTTCTGGCATGGCGGTTAGTCTAGCGTACTTAGTGAACCTATCCACTATGACGAAGATGTGCCTCTTGCCATTCGTGCTGGTCACGAGGGTATCCATGAAGTCCATGGAGATACCCTGCCCTGGGCCAACAGGAATGGGTAGAGGCTTGAGTAATCCAAGCGGAGATTGAGTCCGCGGCTTGTCCCGCTAACAGACCGGACAGGTCTGTACGTACTTCTTTGCATCGTCCAGCATGTTAGACCACCAAAATCGCTGTACTAAGTTAGCACAAGTCTTCTTATAGCCGAAATGTCCTGTTGCGTCATGGCATTCTCCTAAAAACAAACTACGCAAATCTTCCCTAGATGGAACAACTATTCTCTTAAACCCTGCCTTCTCAAGGAAGAGCAACCCATCCACCATCACAAACTCATCAGAGGCAGCCTTGTCTTTAGCCTGAAGTTTGGTGATGATGTCCATCGTGATGGGATTTTCCTTGTAGGCTTCCTCCATAGATCGAGTCACGTACTCAGATAGGCCAAACTCAGAAATCAGCGCACCCAGGTAGTCTGCCCTTCTAGACAACGCATATGCAACCTTGTTGTACTCTCCCTTCACATAGTCTAGTTTGAAGTCATATTGATCTATGACTTCAATCCAGCGTTTGAGTGCATCGGAGAGAACCGGTTGTGTCTTGATCCACTTGAGGGTTTGGTGGTCAGTTCTCAAATAGAAGAACCTTCCTAACAGATAGTGCCTCCAGTGGACAAGTGCCTTGTAGAGAGCATAGAGTTCCCTCTCGTAGGTGGACTTTGCCAACTTCTTTGATGGCATCTTTTTGCTCATGTACTCGACCGGTCTCAACTTTTTGTCGTCCTGCTGAGCTAGCACTGCGCCAATGCCGTATTGGCTTGCGTCAGTGGTTACAACAAATGGCCTTTGCGGGTCGGGTACCATGAGAACCTCATGGTGCGCGAGAGCATGCTTCAAACGTTTGAAAGCTGCCTCACACTCGTCGGTCCAGTCCCATGGCGTGTCAAGTCGAGTTAGATCAGTCAAGAGAGATGTGATCGTGCTATAGTTCTTCACGAAGTTACGGTAATAACCACACATTCCCAAGAACGATCGACCTCAGTCAGAGACTGGGGTCGTGGCCAGTCCCTAATGCTAGCCACCTTCGCATCTTCGGGCCTAATTCCGTCCGCAGATACTTCATGACCCAAATACAAGATTCGAGTGCGACCGAACTCGCATTTCTCTGCGTTTATCTTATACTTGTGCTGCCGGAGGAGTGAAAGTACTTTGTCTACATGCTGAGCATGCTCCTCGACAGTTCTACTAAAGATAAGTATATCGTCGAGGTACACGACAACGAACTTATCTACGTAGTCATGGAAGATCCTATTCATGGCGTGCTGGAATGTACCCGGCGCATTGCAAAGGCCAAAGGGCATCACCCCAAACTCATATAGATCGTACGTGGTCTGAAATGCGGTTTTGTGTTGGTCCTCTGGTCTTATGGCAATCTGATGGTAGCCGGATTTTAAGTCTATCTTTGTATAGTACTTACATCCTTGCACCCTATCCAATAGGTCGTCGATGCGTGGTAGAGGCTCTGCGTTCTTAACGGTGATGGCATTGAGGCCTCTTTGGAACAAAAAGAACTGGTGAGCCAAAGGGGGAAGTGCCAGGCCGTATCCAACCCTTTTCTGTGAGCTCTTTCAGTTGTCGACGAAGCTCGTCCAACTCGGCCGGAGCCATCCTATAGATTCTCCCTTTAGGTGTCTTGCTACCTGGGATGATCTCTATGGCATGTACAACCTCCCTATCTACGACTCCTGAGGGCTCCTCGAACAGATTGGGGTACTTAGCGACGATGGTCTCTATCTCTGGGGCTGTTTTAACGGCCTCCCCTTTTGCAGAGACATAGACTAAGTACATTCCTTCCTCTTGGTTCTGTTTATAATAATTATAGAAAGTTAATGCGCATAAGCACCCATAGGAGTCTATTAACCTACTAGCTTTGTACTTAGCCAGTCTAACGGTTCTCCCACTAGGTAACTCGTGCTTCAACACCTTCTTGTCCCAGTCAAACTGGGGCTTGGCAACCTCGAGGTAGTACATGCCCAACAACATGTCAAAGGGCAACTCGTCGCTCACCAGAAATGATATCTTATGATTTCTCTCTCCTCCTGGGTAGGAGAAGGTGCAGACTACATCTTTAACGTAATCCTCCACCATCATGCGCTCTTTGTTGGCCAAAGTAGATGCTACAGGTCTACTAAGGCGCTGCACCCGGTCCTTTAGGCACAGTCTGTCAACGCAGCCGCGACTTATGAAGTTTCACGTGGAGCCAATGTCTACGAAAGTGCCGCACTTGCGACCACCCACACGAACTTCCACAACGAAGTGCTTCCCTCTAGGACCTCTACTCAATGCCACCCAGGACTCACGAGGGTCCCTTGCCGACCACTCACCTTGAAGGTCCTCTAAGGCTTCAGACACATCCAACGTACAAAGTATAGTTGGGTCCGGATGCGTCTGCGGGGTGACTAAGGAGTCAATAGCTTTGGCCAACTCTTGAACCGGGGAGGGTACATCACCCGCTTGAACGAGAGTAGAAGCAACTACATCTTCTACCGTCCCTAAGTGTTTCCCGAGCTGGAGCTCGTAGAGGCCCCAGACTGAGAAGAAGGAAACCCACCCTTAGGAAGGATCTTCTGCGAGACCTTCGGGTTCTTACATTTAAATTGTGTATGGCCGTACTCGCCACAATTTATGCAAGCACCTCGCGACCAACGATCTCGCCACACTTCCTGATCCAAGCCTGCTCTAACCCAAGCAGCTATCTTGTTTGGGTTAGCGGCCCACCCCTGACTCCTTTGCTGACCGCCTTTGCCGCGGCCTGCTGCCTTAGTCTTAACCACCGCAGCGAGGTTGCTACCCTCAACACTCTCCTCGTCGTCTAACTCTGCACCCTCCACAAGTTCAAAAACATCATCGATTTCAGTTTGATTCCCTTCGGAATCAACCATCATCAATCGACTACCCTTCTTCTTCCATTCTTGTGGAGTCTTCTTCTTTCTCCCGTCCGTAGAAGGGGTTTGAGCACTACCCAACGTAGCCTCTAAGTCTAGGGCCTTCTTGCTGAATGTCTCAAACGTGTGATACTCTATGCGAGCCTCGCTGGCTAATAAGTTCTTGATGTCTGTGGGAAGACATCTCAAGAACGTGGTCAACAAGACCTGTGGATTGTACTCCACTCCTGGGACAACGATCGGGCGCTCTACGGTCGTGGTAAGCTCTCGCACTGACTTGTACTTCCTAGCATCAAGCTTTAATAATCCATCAGTGGCAATCTGTGCCTGCTGAGGATTGTGCCACCGTGCTTCCACTAAATCCATAAAGCTTTCTAGGGTGTGGGTCTGCGCCCAATCACCCATGTTCCTGCCGAACCCCTTTGAAGCTAACAATCCATTTAGCCACCGAGCTGCTGAACCCTCTAAATAGGATGTTGAAGTTATCACTTCCTCCTCTACCAATGTCCTCTTTGCCCTAACCCACACTAGCACCGTTCTCAACCGCGTGTCGAGAGCCTCATCCTTCTTGTCTCCAGTGAAGGTTGGAGATGGTTTCAGGGGGGTCTTGGGATACCAAGGATATTGCTGTCCCGCTGGCGAGACAGGTGGCGACTGTGGTGTAGCACCAGTCGTTGTACTGGAAGATGAAGAAGCAACAGTTTGAGATAAGGCTGCTGTTGATGTACCACTTGGTGGTGGTCCAGACTGAGCGGCATAGGGGCCTGTCGTCCTTGAGAATGGCAGCGACGACAAGATTGCTGGCCTGATCCCTGGTCTGTGCATGGCATTCAGGATCTGGTCCAAGGTGTTCTGGATTGTATCCAGTTTACTGTCCATGTATGTTTGCATGGACAGGATGCTCGCCTTCAAAATCTTTTCATTATTACTAAGGGTCGAGTCATCTAACCCCTCTAATGCAGCCTTATCTGCCTCCCTACCCTCTAGTCTGACAATTCTGTCTCTAATCTCTTTCTCTCTTTTAGTAGCCTGTCCGAGTTCCTCCTCTAGCCTTAAGCGGATCCTTCCGACTTGCTGGAGCTCCATCTGCTCCCGGGTGTGGAGGCGGCGAGCTGAACTGCGAGCCTGCCATCTAACTAGTGCCAGCTCCTGACGTACTGGAGATGGACTGTGAACTGGTCGGCATGCCCAGCCCTTGACCAGTTGAGTTTGCAACAGAAGTTGTTGCCGAGGTAGCCATAGCTACAGCGCTAGCTGTTGCTGCTGCTAACGCACGTTCAACCGCTGCTGCTGCTGCTCTCGCAGTCTCTAGATTGCGGGCCCTTGTCTCGGCCTTAAGCCTTCTCTCGTCTCCTGGTAGTAGAACCTGGAACACAACAGGTATCCTAGCGGTATCCCGTCGTGTCTGCCTCCTATCGTCAGATCTATCCTCCGCACCGTCTGATTCGCTCAAGAGCTAGGCAGACGCTGTCTGCACTAGTGTCCTGTTTGGAACCTACCGCAGCATGAGTATGACCGGATAAAAAAAAAAAAAAAAAAAAAGTCCGGCGAGTTACCTAGACTACTATTCAAGTGGCATCAACAGAACCTACACAAACTGTACACATTGTCTAGGTCTATCATGATTAGTTCTGCACAGAAGATTCGAGAAGAACTGACTATGGTAGATTACAGTCCTATTCTAGTCTGTCTGTTAGGTGTCAGCAGTCGGTCAACCAACTAATCAAAAATAAAACTTAGACTAATGTGAGCAGATGTATGCACAATGGAAATGGTAGTGATGTTCAGTTGACTTCACAATTGGAATCCCCTTCCCCTGTATCCAACGTACCTATGAGCATCATCAAGTTGTGGTGTCTAAGGTGTGCAACCACGGCCCACCCCTGTGCCCAAGAAGTATGCTTATGACCAGCCTGCCCTTTATTTACCCTCGCGTGCAACGAGCCTTACGTTTGACTGATCTGGCTGATCAAGAGGCAATTTAAGGACAGCCCCTGGAGTCCTCAGGAATTCTTTAACGTCGCAATCAGGACGACGATCACAGCCAGTGGACAGTTCA